TTCTTGAACTAGAAAAGAACAAAAATATTGCTAAAATGACCACCAACATACTAAAATAGCATGAACTTGGTGAGCCTATCGAATTGATATTAGTGAGGACTTACTTATCAGCATTCTCAGAGAGTCTGCTTGATAGATTGTGCTATCTCTCCAGTTGAATACATTTTTAACACTAACCAGCGCCATATGCATGTCAAAATGTGCTGTAGAGAGAGAGAGAGAGAGAGAGAGAGAGAGTATTACAAGGCAAAATATAAGCAAATAATTTGTTAGAGTAGGCTACCAGTTTAGCCACCAGTTACAGCTGCCTGCATGAAAAAATTGAATCATTTCAAATTACTTAGTGGCCCTATTTTAAAACCAGTGTTTTGGGCCAGGGATTTGGCTCGATGGTGCTGCCACCTGCTTCACAAGCTCAGGGTCCTGAGTTCAATCCCCGGTACCAATAAATAAATAAATAAACAAACAAACAAACCAGTGTTTTTAGGAGAAGTATCCATTTCTAGTGGTTGAACCACAAGAAAAATCTTACATGAGTTCTCAAAGGACGGATATTTTACAAGGTAATGACTAATACACATTCAAAACCAAAATCACTCTTAGAATATAGAGCAATAGGTTTCAAGGAGCTATTTAATAAAGGTCCCACTGATAGATATAACCAGCTGCATCCTACCAAGTCCACTTGAATTAGCAGTTACTCGGGATTTGATGAGCAAGGATGTTACTAATTCTTATCAGCTATTTTCTTTAACTCTTACTTAACTACCAATTGTGGAACTGTGCACAGTGGATATAATAATTTATATGGTATTATTATACACTAAGATTTTACCAATAATAAGTCCTTAAGACAGGTAAGGACACTCAGTTTGCTACAATTAAAGCTGCTGTAACTTAGATGTCAGGGCTGATTTTATAAATGCTCATCTCTAGAGCAACCTGCCTTTCAGTTAAGTGTGACATTTTCCTTTGCCTGGGTATGTCTTTTGTCCAGCAGCCTTTATAAGGTGTCCAATCCAGATTAGTAAGACAGCCAGCCTATGGCGATAGAGTACTACAAAGTGAAATATGAATGATATCCCTAATGACCTCTAATTTCCTGTTGCTGTACTCAAAGCATTAGAACTAGCCAGGTAACTGTTTATAAACTCACCTAGAAATTACACTCAGTGAACAACCTTGACTATAGCTAAAGATCTGATCTGAGATCCCTAAATAAAGGGAAAGAAGCGAGAAGTAAAGTAGATTCAACAGGTCAGTGTGATCAGGAGAAAAGTAAATATAGCAGATCAGTGTGATAAGATTAACTTGTATATTTTATTGAAGCTATATTTTTCAGGTCTAAAACTTAGGTTTAGGAAGAAAATATTGTACTAGAGTTTACACATATTATTATTCCAAGTAGTCAGGTTTTAAACTCTGCATACTTCCTTCGATAATGTGTTAGTTCAATAGATTTTTGGAATTCTTCTGTAGGGATTGCTTTTAAATCCACATCCTGTTAACCTTACCAGCCTGAGATGTGTAACTAGTTTGAGGTAATATGAATAATTTTAAAACATGGCTAAGAATCTCATTTCTTCTGAATTTTAGGACTGAATATTATAGAGTAATAATGTATTATATTAATCCTTAGAATACAGGCATTTGTATATGAGCTTATTTTTTAACAATTTAATAATTGTCTTATTTGTATTTAATAATTTATCACCTTCAGAAATGTACAATTTCAACTCCTCTAATGTGAACACTCTTAAAGATTTAATCTTTATTTTAGGACTTGGACTTTGTACGCTTTATCATCAACTGCTTTAAGGTTTACTACCCTAAATACCTCTGTAAGTAACTTCTTTATAAAAATGTATTGAAACTGTAGATAATATCTGAGAATTGTTGAGCCTTATATTATTATAGAATTGCATAGCTGAAACATAGTTTTCTCATTAAGTTTTAAATGTGTCATTAGATAAAGGAAGTTTTTTCATAAATAATTATTGTCCTTTAAGTTTTAGAGTTTAACTTCTAGTCTGTATATATAGAAGGCCATAACATAAAGGCAGGTACATACAAACATATATTTACTTATAAGATTAGCCCATAATTACTGATCTTCCAACTTAGAAATTCATTTATTATATGAAACTTGTTGCATGCAAGAATAAACGATGTTGATAAAATATACTGCATAATATTGATATATAAAGTACAGTGTATTATTATATAAAGTACAGTATATTACTAGCTGCTATTTTAAAACTGTTACAAAATAACTTCACTAGAATGTATTTGTAGTTTGCTCATTTTTTTTTTCTTTCGGAACCAGGAATCGAACTCAGGACCTTGCGATTTGTGAGGCAGGCATGGTGCCACTGAGTTAAATCCCTGGCCCCTATGTTTGTTCATTTTTAATTGTAACTCTTCCATCAATTACCTGAAGAACTGCTAAACCTTATATACTCATTTTTTTTTTATTTGTTGGATTTATGTTCTGGATTTCCCCTGTAAAAAACAAGCTACCAGCCTACATTACATATATAGGAAATTCACAGATCTGCCTGGGCATACTCCCTGTGAATACCACAGTTAGGGTCTTTTGGGACTCATGACTCAGGTGACACCAAAGCGTAAATCCCTAAATCATCTTACTCTGGTGTGCTTTCATATTATTGTTGATGTGAGATGAGGAACTGACAAAAAGCATAATGGATGTTGAGAGTCATTGCCACCCTAGCTCTTCACTTTCATCACTTAAGAGAGAGTATTTGTGAATGTTCTTAGATAAAGAGAATGATCCGGCCCTGTAGGATCTGTTGTTCCTTGTGAGTTTTTACTGTATCTGGCATGTACCCTGTTTCAGTGATACTTGCTGATCAGAGTTTTAATAGGGAATCACTGCTGAGTATTATTAGCTGGTTCCTCTTGTGAACAAAATGAAACTCAAATAATCTACCTGTTTGTCAAGCTATCTAAAATAGTTTGTAAAGAGTCACTTAGAAATAACATAAATATCATTACTTTATAAAATACATCCAAGATTCTTTTGAGAAAATGATTAATAAATTCATAGATCTTTATTATCACGAATTCACTGCTGTTCATTTCAGTTAACTGCAGATTATGCATATATTCTGCCAACATAATGTTTTGCAAACACTGAATTCTGTGGAATCTTAAATTGATTATTCCTCAAAATCTGCCATGAAATATAACTGTCATATCTTAAACATATCTCTGTTAAAGATTGGAATGTTAAGAGCACCATTCTTCCTCTTTCCTAATACCTTGTGTTCTTTTGTATGTAGTTTACTTAACTACATTAACATAACCACTCTAGAAGGTTCTCTGCTCAGAGAAGAATGAAATTGCATTTTGATTAATCTGTAACAGAAGAATGAATTGGATATCAAAACTCCCTTTTGTGGGTTCTTGTTCTTTCTCACAGTTGTTAATAGGACTGGTTAATGTCTTCAACTCAGTATGTAAATGATATTAATATATGGTTTGGAATTACTGACTTCCTGGAACTCATAATATTTTCAAAAGTAAAAGTATTTTTCCTTAATCATATAATTTATTAAAAGGGGAAAGGACAATTATGCAATTGGTTTAACAGTAAAATCTCTAGAAAATTATGATTGAAACCATGAATTAGACATGAAAATGTTTTTGAAGTTCCGTTGCCATCAGCACTGATGTAACATATACATCCAAAGACTCCGCTTACCCACTTAACTATTTTCTTTTGTACCTTTTTGTAAACAACAAAAGTAATAAATGAACAAAGGAACAGGCTTTTTGCCAAAGAACTGTAACAGTGCTTTATTGATTCCCGCGAGAGTCTTCTTCTGGGCTAGGCCCATCAACACTGTGAGGTGTTAGTTCAGTCCTGGTACCACCGCTCACGCATCACTAGATTAGGGCTTAGTCAGCCAGCTCAGTTTTTATATACATTTAAGTTACCAGTTTTTCTAGGCTAAGTATAAGTGACATTGTAAAGGTATAAGTCACATGCAATTAAATTTTTTTCATCTTTCAGCAAAAATAGTCATCTTTGATATGCCTTGGATAATGAATGGTGAGTATATTATTTATGTTTTCCTAAAACAAAAATGTCTGAATTGCTTTTTTCTTTCTTGGCCAGTTACGATAGCTGTTTAAAGAAATGTTTGTATTGTACTTTGGTGCACCCCTAAGAGGCCAGAGCAGGAATTGTCTTAGGCTGTTCCTAAGCAAATGGAGCTGATATTCTATCCCCCAGATTCTGGGGTTACCCATTAATGTTTCCTAAAAACAGCCTCAAGATATTCAGCCATTTAGGTAAACAATAAAGAGAAGCCACAGTTTGTCAACCCACATATTGGGTATGTCATAGACCCCCAGGTCTTAGCTAGATTTTCTCATGGACTTCCAAGTATTAAGGAAGAAGATGGGATGAATATAGTATTCACCCCAAATCATTGTACTCACATGGCCCTTTTGACAGTCAGAATATATTGTTTGGTGAGGTAGTTTTGAAAAATGCTTTACCAACTTCAGAGTGATTATAAAATTAAAGTTATTCTCTGTGCGTTGTCCTTGGTGTTTTTAAAAGGCGGTTGTCACATAGAAAGCAATAGAGAAAATCAACAAAGCTAAAATTTGATTCTTCAAAAGTTAATAGTTGGCAAATATGTACCTAAACTAATAAAAAACAAAGACTTAAATTAATAAAATGTTGAATTAGAGAACAAACATCAGTACTGTCCTTAAAGAAATAAAAAAGATTATAAGGAAGTACTATGAACAAATGTATGCCAAGAAGTTAGGTAACCGATGAACTGTGTAAATTCTTATGAATCCACCAACTATTGACACTGAGTCAGAAAGAATCAAAATGAGAGTGCAGCCAAATTGAGTTAGTAATGACAGTATCTCACAAAGAGCTCTAGCTCAGATGGCTTCACTGGTAAATTCTATGAATTATTTGGAGAAAAATTAATCCCTATCCTTTGTAAACCATTCTAAAATACAAAAAAGGAGGGAATATTTCCCAACCAATTCTGTAAGAAAATATAGTCCTGAAACCAAACACAGGAAAAACAAAGTGCAGTGTGTACTTCTGGATCTTAACCCTTATAAATATAGATGCACCAATCCTTAGAAAATACTAGCAAACTGAATCCAGCAGAATATAAAAAGGATTGTATACTACAACCAAGTGGGATTTACTAAGAAATGCAAAGTTGTTTTAACATATGAAAGCAGGGGGTTGGGAGTACACACCTATAATCCTAGCACTCAGGAGGCTGAGGAAGGAGTATCACTGAGTTCGAGGCCAGACTGAACTACATAGTGAGACCCTGTCTCAAGAAGCCAAAAAAAAAGAGAAGAAAACCAATATAAACTACCATATAGATAAAATGAAGGGGGAAAACTACATAATCATCTCAGTAGACACCAAAAAAGCATTTGACAAAATATAGTAGCCCTATATGTTAAAAGTACATAAGAGACAGGTACAAGAAGTGTTACATGAGCATGACTGACAGCCTCCTGGTTGATTTGCATCTGGTCTTTTAGTATCATTTTACCCAAAGCCCCAACCTAAGTCATATACCAGTCTTTCCTCCATAGCCAACTCCTACCCTCAGTATATTGACCCAGTATGATTCAGGGCCCTGGGTAAATACAGTCCTAGCAGACATGAAGGTTACCTCTGGGAAGCAAAGGACTTACCACTCTTTGAGTGAGGCTAATTCTTCATGACACAGCAGAGAACTTGCTGAGCCTAATAAAGGGCATCTTTGAATCCCACGATTAACATTTGTAAATTATATCTCAAAGCTATTTTAAAAATTAGATTTTGCACGATTGAATTCCAGCAGGAAAGCTTCGAACCTGTCTACTCACAAGCTTTTAAAATTGAAATTACTGAAAATTTAAATGTTAAAAAAACTTGAATCACAGTGCGCCAAAGTAAAAATGTACTTTTCTGAACTACTACTTGTTTGTCAAGCTGCTCTTATTTGCTGTTTTATTCTATTGATACTTTTGCACATCTAATGCAGAATTCTACTTTCAGTTGCTCTAAAATCAGCTTTTGAGTGTCACATTAGATATGAAGTTTTAAAAATTAAGTGTAAGAAAGAAGTGGCATGACAGGACAAGATTGTAATTACTAAACAGCCATGTCTGATAACCATTTATTCTTGTAGCTTCTGTAATTTCCCCACAGTTATTAAACACAAGGCCTGGAAAAAAGGCAGAGATGAGAGGTAGGAAGGAAATCTGGGTCTGGTTCACACCCATACTGAGGGCTACTCCCTTCTCTTCCTGACTTCTCCTTTGGGAAGGCTTTTCCCATTGAGTGTTTATCAGAACCATAAAGTAAGTTGGCTCTTCACCATTGCACAACGCTTTCCTGGGTCACGTGACAGTTTGATTCAAAGGTCTAGAAATCTTAATTGAGATCATTGATGGACGTATTCAGAGATCAAAACCCTGATAAGTTTACTAATGATCATCAGGGTCATTTAATCTTCATGGAACCTTTGAAACCTGTAAGGGACAGTCTCCGAAAGACCTGGATTAGCTTGTACAATAAAGTAATTGATAAAGAGAATGAAAAGAATTTTAATGATGTCACTGTTTTTCTTCAGCTGCTTTCAAAATTGTGAAAACCTGGCTTGGCCCAGAAGCAGTGAATTTGTTGAAGTTTACAAGTAAAAATGAAGTCCAGGAGTATGTCAGTGTAGAATACCTGCCCCCACACATGGGTGGAACTGTAAGTATAGTCCTTGAAATGTGTTTATGAAATAATGCTAGCTAACAGTTCATAAGATTGGATTCTTTGAAGGAAAAAGGAAAAACAGTGTCATAACATCCAAAGAAAGATCACATATACTTTAAAGTGCCAAGCAGTAAAACAGACATGTTTCACTAAAGTTTAAAAGTTATTTTTATTTTTGAATGAATAATATGTTTATGTGGTTCTAAACTGAAGGTATTCATTATTCAGGAGAGTATTCAGAAACAAGTCTTTAGTAAAATGAGTCCTCCTACTCTTAGCCCAATCACCACTTTCCCTTCCCTAGATGCATTTCTTATATTGATTTCCAGGGGAATGTATGACATACATAAGCAAGTAAGTATATGATTCTTCCTTTTTCCTATATCTTTTAACTTAATCTTGCTTTGTTTCTTCACAGCATGTCTTAGATATCATTCCAAATCTATATGTTGTAAGCTTTCTTGTGTTTGTTCGTGGCTGCATAGTATTCCAGTGTCAAATGACCTATAACGTACTGAATTTCTTTTTGTAGTCTCTTTAGTTTTCTCTTAATTTTCTATTAAACAAGTCTTTTTAATTTAAGAGATATGATTAAGCATATACTATCAAGATTGGGGAGTGTTTGTTTTGTTTTTACAGTGCAGGGAATCAAACTGAGAACCTCATACATACTGATAAGCAAGTGCTCTACCACTATGCTACCCTCAGCATTTAAGTTTGTTTTTAAACTGATTTTTACTACTTAAAGATAAGCAGTTGAGCATAAGTGGGTACATGCTAAATTGTTAATATGTTATAACAGTAAAACCTATTGTGATAGACAGTGACCTTTTTATAAATTGGAAAATTTATAGATTTCGTATGTTTTCAGTTAACTCCATAATATTTCAGTGGCTTGATTCTACAGTCTACTTTGTATACTGCCTGCCTGGTAAGTTATGTTCAGTGAGAACCAAGGACTATCAAGATCAAGAGTTTTGGGGCCAGGGATTTAGCTAGCCACCTGCCTTACAAGTGCAAGCTCCTGAGTTCGATCCCCAGTACCAAAAAAAGAGAGAGAGTTTTGGAGTTTTGGTATGTCCTCCTGTTTCTTTTCTTTGATTAGAAAAGACTTATTTCACATTAAATGTAACAATAAAATTAATTTTTAAAAAAGAAAAGACTAGAACCAAAATGTTTTGTTTGGAGTTTGATGTTCTCCTATTCCAGGCTTTATATTTTACATTTTAACCTAGAAAAACTAAGTATAGTGGTTCTCCAGTTCATGAACTTGATTCTTTCCATGATTCTGGTCGCAAACCGAGTTGAACAAGAACCAAATCAAATTCAGTGGCTAGATTCAGTGTTGACCTTGCGGGCATATTTGATTCAGTTCTTGTCCATTTCAGTTTGAGCTGAAATCATGGAGAGAATTAAGTTTGTGAACCAAGTCACCACTGAATTCTTCATTTCAGATACTACACATAGTTTGTAGTTTATTGTACTGAGTGTAGTGTCTGAAAAATCACAGCAGTGATTTTGATTTGTCATTTTCAACATTTTACCCATAAAATTATTGTATCTTAATAGCATTTAGTAAAAGTGATTTTTATTTCTACATGGAGAAAGGATTATTGTATTTCCACCTTTCTTTTGTCAGTGATATATTTTGAGAAGTATTCAAAATCGGAGGACTATTATCTTTTAATATAATCAGTCCTGTTTTGAAGGAGCATTTCTTGGTCTATTATCTTTTGCCATGATCTTGTAAATACCTTTTGCTATGTAAGTACAAGTATATGTGTATAAATAAAGTCATTGGGTCAATGGGTATACTTAATTTTTAATTTTGGTAGCTGTTTTCAAATTCCCTCCAAAGTCATTGTACTCATGTAGCAATAAAGTGTGAAAACACTTGAAATGTATATATCTTTGCCAATAACCACATATTCTTATTTTTGTAATCTTTGCCAGTCTCAGATGAAAAATAGTCTTTAATTTTTATTCTTTTTTTGTAAATGACATTACACCCTTTTTTATGATTTACAAGGCATCTTTCCTTCTTTTTACCTGAGCTCTGTACCCTACTTTCTTACCTCTTTTTCCGGTGAATTCTTACTCCTTTTCCTGTTGATTTATTTGTATTCATAAAAATTATATTTGTTTCTTTTAGGTATGGTACATATTTTTCTAGTTGTGACCTTTTAAAAAACAAGAAAACAATCTTTCTTTATGCTTCTTTTTAGCTTTTTGGTTGGTTGGTGGGTTGAGTTTTTTTGTTTCGTTTTGCAGTGCTGGGTATTGAATCCAGGGTCTTATGCATGGCAGGCAAGTGCTGTACCTCTGCGCAGCATCCCCAACACATTATTGGTATTTTTGTGCCTTTCTAGGTTTTGTGCTGTGTAGAAAATCCTTGCATACTTAAGATTTGTTTGTTCTTTGTTTTTAATTCTCTTCTGTTTCGTTCCAGTGCTTTTTATGGTTGAAAAGACACGCAAACATACACATATTTTGAAATCCTTTGTGGTGTAAAGAGTGATCTAAATTTAAGATCTAACTTGATTGTTCTAGATAGATAAGTTGTGAATAGCCCCACTACTTACTGCTCTTTCACTTTCTGCTTTGAAATGCTTTCTGAATTTTAAATTTCACTGCATGATTAAGTCTCTTTTCTTGGCCAAAGTAATAAATTTCAAATCTACTATTACAGACTTATCCTCCCCCCACACACCTCTTTGCAGGCTGACAAAAAATTCTTTTCTCTTAGGATCCTTTCAAGTATAGCTACCCACCCCTGGTTGATGATGACTTCCAGACGCCACTGTGTGAGAACGGGCCAGTAGCCAGTGAGGATGAGACATCGAGTAGAGAAGACGTAGAAAGTGATGGGAAAGAAACCTTGGAGACAGTTACTAATGAGGAACAAACAGCTCTTCCAAAAAAGGTAATTTTATGAATAAAAGTCACATTGAGAGCCAGGGATTTGGCTCAATGGTTCTGCCATCTGCCTGGCAAGCATGAAGTCCCGAGTTTGATCCCCAGTAACAACAACAACAACAAAAGTCAAATTGAATGAAAAGCTGTGGTCTAGTCTCAGTACTGCCACTAGCTAGCTGTGTGATTTTGTGTAATTAGCTAAACTTGCTGCCTTTCCATATCTTTGTAAAAAGGAAGATGAGATGACTTAATTAGTAGCACCACTTTAAGTGTATAAAAAACTGAGCCCATGCTTTCTATAAAATTGGTAAAGTGCACATGAAAGGAAGGAATTATTTTACATTTTTATTTGTCTAGCCTAAAACAGAAACTGATTAATTTAAAATCATTCCTTTTTTCTTTTTCTGTAGTACTAGGGATTGAATTCAGGGCCTCACAAATGCTAGGTAAACCACTCTACTGAGTTACATCCCCAGCCCTTTGTTTTCCTTTTTTTTTTTTTTTTTTTTTCTTTTTCCTCTTCAATTTGAGACAGAGTCTCTTAAGTTACCTAGACTGGCCTCACTCAAACTTAGGATTCTCCCACCTTGGCCTTCCAAGTAACCATATACCACTACACACAGCCTCTATCTGTTTTATAAAAACACTGCATTGTTACTCTTTTTACAAGTTTTCAAGGGCTTGATAGATAATGTTATAATTTAGTGCAAATGTAAAGACTTATGGGAAGGACCATGTTATATTTTTAATGGTACATTGTTTAGAAGGGTCTCCCAAATATATGTTCATGGCCATGTTAGTACATATTAAATGTATCATTTAGCTATAGTAAACCTATTTTAAAGATTATAATTTGTGAATCAAATAATGTTTACTTTTTGGCCTAACACTTTGTCCAGCTATCATTGTCAAACTAAACTGGCATTATCTTTTGTCTGTTGTGTTTTTGTTTGTTTCCTTTTTGTCTTTAGGTTAACCCAACTGAATCAAGTTCCAAAGCAGAAGAAAATGAAAAAGTTGATTCAAAGATGAAAGCTTTCAAGAAACCATTGAGTGTATTTAAAGGGTCCTTATTACATATCAGGTAATAAGATTTTATTAGCTATACTCTTAAAATGTATTTTGATCACCTTGAGGGCACTACAAAATGAAAAGTTCTGTACTCTTTGAAATGGAAATTAAAAATTGAGGGTTATGTGAAGAGTCACTTGGTTTCTGGATATAGTAGATATTTAAATATCTTTATTAATAACAGTGCTTAAAGGGCCCTCGTCCCATATCAGATAATAAAAGTGGTTATTCATATATTAATAAATCTTAATGATATATTTTTCTCATATTACTGATATTCACACAAGTAGGGGGATACCTGAAATGCCACCACAAGAAGCATTTATTGATTTGTCCTTTTAAAATCAAAAGTCAAAATGGAAAAATTGGTTTCTGTCTAAAACCTAATTTCAGCACATCTCCATTTCTGTTGCTATGTTACATGATCGGAGATTATTTAGGATTGGGGACTTGAGGCTCTAGTTGAGTGGTAGAGTACTTGTCTGGTATAGGTGAGGTCCTGGGTTTTATCTCCAGCACTGGAAAAACAGAAGATTTAGTGATTGTTTTTTTTTACTATGATGTAAAAACTTCCCTTTCAGTGATGCTTTTGGTTGATAAATCTATTCAGTCTTATGTCAATATTGCTCTATCAACCCTCAATAGTGATGATATAATGTAGCATTTTTTTCTCCCTTTACTTGAAACTTTCCTGTATAACTATTATTTAGATGTCCTATATCAACAGTACAGCGGAGTTTTTTTTTAACTTTAAAATTCTGTGTCTAATTAGTTTGTTTACATATATTTTGGTTACTTACAGTTGGGTTTATTTCCACTGTCTGTGTATGAAAGAAAGAGAGACACATTTTTGTTTCCAATATTTTTCTTTGCTATTTTCCCCCTTTGGAGTTTGTTTTTTGTTTTTTTGTTTTTTTGTTTTTGTTTTTTGTTTTGTTGTTTTGTTTTTTACCGAGGATCGAACTCAGGTTGTTGCGCTTGCAAGGCAGGTGCCAGATTTTTTCTTCTAGTTTGCAAGTTACACATTCCATGTTTTTAAGGGAAGCCTGTCAAAAGCACAGAGCCTAGCATACAGATGTCAAGGTTTGATTGGAATATCAGCAAGGAAGAGCACCTGGCTTGAGCAGGACAGTTTCTGGGGCTGCATTTTAGAACCGTCCCCGCCGCCTGTACCCCTGAGAGGATCACAGAGCTGCTCTTACACAGACAATACAAACTGAGGACTTTGTATCACAAACCCAAAAAATTCATTAAAACAAAAAACTGCATTAAAAATATTCTTCCCATCGTTTAAAGCACCTAATACCATTTGACTAATGTGAAGAAACTACACAAATTTTGCTTGAGTGTTTTTTTATTTTGGGTCATGGTCATTACAGTGGCCAGTGATAGTAAAATTTGAATTTTGAGGCTCACTGATTTTATTGTTTGACAAGTTCTTCCTTTGGTTCTTCCCCCAGACTTATTTCTGCATTTCTTTTTTGCCTCTATCACTTAGAAAGCCATTGTATAGTAAGAAATTATTCTGTAATTTAAGTACATCCCTAATCTTTCTTTTTAAGTTAAGTTACATTCTTCTCTATTGGTATATAAAAATATGATTGATTCTGATCTATTTGTAATTAGAGAAAGTTGAAGCACTGGTATCTTTTTTGCTTTGATTATAATCCATAATCTTCCAAAGGGTTAAATAAACGCAATTTAAGATTGTGTTGATTATAAGATTATTTCAATATTTTCCTAATTCTGTCTTCTATTCTTCCCTATTTTGCTTTTTCCCTTAGAGAAAAATCATTAGACTTCTTAAATATCATGCATTGGATCAGTAAGATTAAAATACAAAATTGTATTAGGTAATTGTAGTCTTCTTTTTCAGTGAAATCTCCTTATACAAATGAGCATTATATATTAACCAAATAATTTTTTTCGAGCTAGTGATTGCATTATTTATTCTGAGTAATACAAATGCCTTATGTGTTTGTTTTTATCTAGTCCAGCAGACGAACTATATTTTGGAAGTACCGAATCTGGAGAGAAGAAATCCTTAATAGTGTTAACAAATGTAACTAAAAATGTAGTAGCATTTAAGGTAAATATCTTAAAGATATAATAAATTATGTGTGAAAGTGTGACATTGGAAATGATTTGGCACATATTCTACTCGAAAGATAACTGAACAAATAGCAGTCTTGTGCAAAAGCTGAACTTACAAAATATTTTTATTTATGATACTTTTAGTCATGCTGTACTACCTTCTAGTTCTAACCACGAGGCACGGTTTTTCTAAAAATTTCCCCTGGGATTTGTATCTCAAGCTTTAATGAGCACTAATAGACTGATATTAATCCTGGGGTTTAATGTTTGTTGTAAATAAAAGCCCAAGAAAAATCATTCTTCATTATATGAATAATTTAATTCATAGCAGCAGTGAGAGATAAAACTGTAAAACCAAAAGTGCATTTTTCTGGGCTACAGTTCATATTACTAGCCTTTTACTGAATATTAAGTATAGCAATACTGAGTAGCACCCATATTGTAGGCATTTCTTCCTTAAGTCTCCTATTTATTTTAGATATGACAGCTAGGATGTTCTGGATAGGCTTTAGTCATCCACTGTTTTAATTTCTGCACTCTATTCATATGATATAATGTTCATTCTGTTTTAGGAATTTACATCAATACGATCAGGCTACTAGCAGACAGAATAAATATTTAATAAATGGGTTAATTTTTTTAGGAAGAAGTTTAAGTGACAGTAGGACTTAATAAAACAAGTATCTTTTTAAACCAGCCATGGTAATGCACACCTGTACATCCCACACTCTGGCAGCATGAGGCAAGAGGATTGCAAGTTCAAGCCCAGCCTGGGCAACTTAGCGAGACTGTCTTAAAAACAAAAAGGGCTGGGGATGTAGCTCAGTGTGAAGACCTTGAGTTCAATCCACATTCTATGTATAATCACTATATTAGTTTCTGTCTCATCACTGAGATGCAGTACCCAACACTTACAACTCTAAGGAGGAGAGGTTTATATTGGCTCATAGTTTATAGAGGTTTCAGTCCTGGCTGGCTCCAAGGCAGGCAGCCTGGCAGAGGAGGAGCTCATGTCATAGTGGGCATTAAGCAGCTAGTGCTCACGGAAGGAGGAAAGATCCTGTGTGTGCATATATACATATATCCAAGCTGCCCTCACAGCAGCCCACCTCCTCCCAGCAGGCTTCATCCCCCAACATCACTGCCAGATGTAAACCCATCAGTGGCCTGACCCTGTATCACACACCCGTGCTCCAGTCACCTGCCAGTAGCCCTACCTGTGAGTTCAAGAGGCTTTGCAGAAGTATCTAGACAGCCACCAAGGTTGTTTTGTAGATTCTTTGCTTGTTGATTATTAACTGCTGATGTTTTAGAAAGTCATTCTTAAAGAATTCCTCCAAAAGAACATACAGGTTGTTATCACACAGGTTATGTGACTACTGTGTTTCTGAATAGGTGAGAACAACTGCTCCAGAAAAGTACAGAGTCAAACCAAGCAACAGCAGCTGTGAACCTGGTGCATCAGTCGATATAGTTGTGTCTCCCCACGGGGGTGAGTTATCACTTGTGGCCACACCCACTGTGGTGGAGAGTGGGGACCTGGGCCCCCACTGAGTGCAGAGGTGAATCTAGAAATTAAGAGCATCAGTGAGTCACTTCAACTCACTCTTGGCATGTTTTCTCACATATGAAATGAGATGGTCAGTGAGATTTCAAATGCCCTTTCTATCAATAAAATGTAATTGTTTTTTAATGAGTAAGATTATTTAAACTGATACCAATTGCAGCTGAATTTCAAGAAACCAAAGTTCCTCAATTTTAGGACTTTTTGTGTATTTAAGGTATCTTCCTTTTCTTGTTTCTCCTTCATGTTATATTCTGGAGTAATGTCAGTAATGTCGTAAGCTACGTATCCAGCCTCTGGTGAAGGTTCCTATTTATGTGTTAAATTACCTTTTTGGGATACAGGCTTAACAGTCTCTGCCCAAGACCGGTTTCTGATCATGGCTGCAGAAATGGAACTGTCATCTGGCACAGGGCCAACAGAATTGACTCAGTTTTGGAAGGAAGTTCCCAGAAACAAAGTGATGGAGCATAGGTAAGCTTTTTATTCACAGGCTCCCAAATGTAGTGGAAGAATCAGAAAGAGGAATGTGCCTCCCTGGGTGAGGCCCTATCCGTTGCTTCTCACATCTGGCAGACCCTGGGGATGTTGAGAGAAAGAGCTGGAGCTATTCAGGGAGTCACTAATAACAGAAATTCGCTTGGCAGAACAGGGCAAGACTCTGACTCTGTCAAAATGACATATGTACGTCTCTGTCCCAGCAATTTCCCTGTAGGAGTTCTCTCTTCATGTACTAGAGTGTTGGTTGCAGCATTGTTATAGTGAAAAATTAGAAAGAACTTCTGTGCTCATCAGTAAATTAGCAATGAAATACATTGTATATGTACATCTGCACTAAAGAGTACCTTACAGCCATTTGGAAAAGTACAGTGTGTTTGATCTGACATGGAAAGACATCTGTGATGCAGTAATATAAAGTAATTTCAAAATATGTACCACATTATCCTATTTAAAAGGATTTGAGTGAATAAGGTGTGTGTGTGTGTGTGTGTGTGTGAGAGAGAGAGAGAGAGGTTGTTTTAAATGTCTTAACAGGTGTAGAGAACAAAGGGAGAATAGAGAAAGCTGTGTTGTGATTTTGTTTGGCTTTGGTTCTTTTTTATTGGAATTATGATTTATTGAAGTATTCCTAGTTTTGCCCCCAAGGAACACGCGTCAGTGTCTAGAAACATTTTAGTTGTCATAGCTGGGGGAGGAGGTGCAATGGATATCTAGTGGGTTGCTGCCAAACCTCCTGCAGTGCACAACACAGCCTCAGTCTCCCAAAACTCCTGGCCCAAACTGTCAGTAGTGCCAAGGTGAGAAACCCTGGCTTTCTAGGGTAGAGGTGACTACTCTCATGACACATAGAGTAGAATCTGAAGAAAATGAGAGACCTAGACACATTGGTAACTGAACAGAGAGCTTTGTAGACAGAGGGAAATACAAATAGGCTTGTGTGAGGATACCAGGGAGTTCAGTGTTGCCTGACTCCAGTAAGTTGGGCGGGTGTGGCCAGAAGATGGGAAAATAAAGTAGGACACTAGGTCATTGCTAATGAGGACTTGAGCTTGAGAGGAAAAACCCTTCATTGTTGCTGAACAAAGCTGTTAGGTGGTCTAGCTTGTTTTCTTAAAGGATCCTGAGGCTGTGTGCCAGCCCAGTTCCAGATGCCTTACTTCATTCACTCATGAAACTGAAGACCATGCTAGGAGGGAAGGAAGGATCTCCCTACTGTAGAACTGGAAGAGCTGCTGATGGTTACCGCTGAGTGAAATCTTCACAAAAGGGGTTGAAAGCATACACAGGAGTGAATGGAGCAGAGAGAGAAAAGGGATTCATGGTAAGAAATTAGGAGACGCAGGAAGAGGCTGGCAGGGGCCAAAGGTGGAGCTTGGTCACCACCACAAAACTAGTGGTAGAGCAAGACCCTGTCTGATCTGCCTTTGGGAAGATCACCTGCTGGTGATAGATACACAGAGTGGAAGAGAGCAGGTATGGGCCCAAGGACACAGGTATTGTTTCAGTGGCTCAGCAAGAGGGAAAAGTTCAGCTGAATCTAGGAGTGGTTCTTGGTCAAATGGAAGACAATCCAGCAGGGGAGTTAGAAGGAAAACAGCAGGTGAGGTCTGTGGAGTGATCAGAACCCAGGGAAAACAGTGGGTCACTAATTAGAAAGTGACCAGTGGTACCCAAGTAGTGCCATGCTGGTCAGGAGGGTGAGGTGTAGCTAGTGTCCATTAATGGTGACATCACAGAGGTAGGTCACTGATGACAGACAGCGAGCGTGTGAGAGAAGCCAGGATGCTGAAGAAACGGAGACAGCCAGTTTGCACTGGAAGTGTGGCTGGGTAGGGAAGTACTGTGGGATATTTAGAAGGAGTAATGTGGCATTGAAGGACCTGTTTGTTTGGGGGGATTCAAAAATGATATCTTACTAGGATCATTAGAAGAGGAGAGGCTGGACATATAGGGCAGGTCATTGACAGCGCAATTCCTGAGAAGGCTGAAAGGATGGGATCTTCAACAGAGGGATCTAGCCTAAGTCCTCAAAAGGAGGAGGAACGAACACAAAGGGAAGCCAGTCTCCAAGCAAGGATTCCACTTGGGAGGGGCAGGGTCTTGCTTTATAGTTCAGGCTGCCCTGGAACTCACATACCAGTCCCTCTTGCCTCAGCCTTATGAATACTGTAAGGGATTACAAGCATGTGACACCACACCTGGCTCCACTTGTTTTTACATGGAGTAATTACATATTTCAATTTTCAAATTATTGGGAAACAGCTTTTTGTTTCTGTCAAAAGTTTTCATGGAGTTTTACGGTCGAAGGCATGGCTATGGAAAATTTTTGAAAGGTTAAAACACTGATATAAAAGGTATTCTAGATTAAGTTGAAGTATTTATGTCCTCAGTATGAGGGTTTTATGGAGGGTTTATGCTTTATTATGTATGAGGTCCTTTATTTGTCTTGGTTTTACCTTTTCCTAATGGCATGCTTTCTGTGGAACTCTGAAGAGGGAATCGTTTTCTCCTAGAAAGTGGGAGAGAAATGGTAATTTTGTCTGGAAGAAGCAAGAAAAAAAGCACTATCTACTATCTAGAAAGCATGGCTGCTTTCAGATAGTAAAGATTTGGATGAATTCTACTGAACACCCTATAAAAATCTTGCCAATGAGCTGGGTGTGATGGCAGAACTCTGAGAGGCTGAGGCAGGAGGATAGCAAGTTAGAGCCCAGCCTAAGCAACTTAACAACTTAGTGAGTCCCTACCTCAAAGCTAACAAGAAAGAAAGAAAAAGAAAGGCTGAGTACATTGTCAGTGCAAAGGTCCTGGGTTCAGTCTCCAGTATTGGGGAGGGGTCGCCATTGAATCCTGCGAGACAGCAGAATCCATAATCTGTATTCTTTGTACATATATTAAGAAGCTAGAAGAGGGCTAAGGATGTAGCTCAGTGGTAGAGCACTTGCCTGTCATGTGCCAAACCCAGTGCAAAAAAAAAAAGCATCAGGTGGAAGATAAATATAAGTTGTATTACTACTTGAGGTGAACCTGGGAAAAGGAATGAGCCCTTTTATACTGTTAGATAGATTCTCATTTTTAACTTTTTTATTCTATATTTTATTTATATAGGAAAATTCACTAAAGCTCCTAAGAACTTATCTTTCCTCTGGATTTTTCATAGGTTAAGATGCCATACTATGGAGAGCAGTAAACCAAATACTCTGATATTAAAAGATAATGCTCTTAACATGTCAGATAAAACCAGTGAGGATATATACTTAAAAGTAAGTGTACTGTCTTCCTACCCAAAGCAAGTTGTTAATGCTAATCGACATTTGAAATCCATTTTTTCTACTGACATAAGTGGAATTCTTTAGCATAGACACAGCCTTCCCTACTTTGTGCAGAGAAACCAAATCAAGAATAGTAAGTGGTGAATGACTTTTGGAAATCGACTAACCTTTTAAAAGCTTTGGCAAGTTTAATATGGAATAGGGACCAAGTATCAGAGAATTCCATCTTGCACAGAAGGGTACTATATAATGCATTTAAATTTGAAAGAGACAAACGGTGACTAAAGATGTAGCTCAGCGGTAGAGCCCTTGACTACCATGCACAAAGCCCTAGATTCTCTTGGCCACCACTACAAAAGAGGAGACAGAAATTGCACAAAAGTTTGCATACCTCCCGGAAGTATTTGGTCTTCTGTCTTAACTACAAAATGAGACCTTTTAAAATATGAGTAAGCAGAAACATACCTATCCATCAAACAAATTGAATATCTCCTTGCATTTCTGGCTCTTTGCCTTTCAGAATAGAATGACCCTATATCTGTAGTGTTTGGATTGCTAATATTTCTGTTTGTCGTTGCCATGATTAATAATTGTTTGATTGATACAACTGTCTCATCCCTTTTTCCTCTTTAGCTCAGTCGTTTACTAGAAAGCAATAAGAAGTTTGAAGACCAACTTCAGCGTTGTATTTGGTTACAACAGCTTCTACTTGCCTTAATAATGCTCTTGTTTGCTTTAGTTGTCACCTTCTTTTATTCGTTGTACAATTAAAAGAAGTGGTGCCTGGACACAAACACAACTCCTTCCTCTGTTGTTAGGAAAAAATAACAAACCCAAAACGTCTCCACCAAGCTACTAATCGTACTGCATATCTGTGCTTCCTAAAAGGAAAAATGCAGCACGTAGAGGGGTGTAACATATACCTATATTGAAAAAACAAACTGTTTAAATAAACACTGGAGAAATTCATTACTAGAGATTATAGCTAGTTAGGAAAGTAAGTAAAGGCATATGCATTGTGTAATTAATAGCATAAATATAATTTATTTGCCTTTCATTTAAGTACTTTTAAAGCTTAAGTTTTGAACTAGGGATGTGGCTCAGTGGTAGAGCACTTTCCTAGCATGCACAAGGCCCTGTCTGGTCCTGAGTACCGCCAAAAAAAGCTTGAGTTTTATTATGTAAATACATTAGCCAAACTGAAAAATAAGTATCATGCTTTGGTGCAGCCAAAAAATATAATCTGCTTTTTTATGACAGAATTAAGATAGCTGAGCCGACTTACTAGCTTTTCTATACTATGTAAATAAAAGAACATGTATATTGAAAAAGAAAATATCCTTCAACAGAGTAGTTTATGTAATCTTGACTTTGTAATTTTGAAACTTACTTCCAGACGATAGTCAATATTCTTTTGGAATGTAAACCTTTCAATGCCAAACCACCTTAGCCTTTGTTTCTCAGAGTTCTTTAGTAGACTACCTTTTATTAATCCTGGGCTTTTCTATGAACATTGTGATTTGGGTAGGATTTGGAAAACTAAGTGTGGTTGGATTCTCTTTGAATCTTGTTGAGTCTCTCCAAGCAGTCCTCCTTTCCAGCCATCTCTATGCAGCTTCCTGTTGTCCACTATGGCTGGATACTAAACCTCTTCCCAAATCAATTATAAAGGCCTCATCCTTCCTTTTTCTTCCAGATCACAGGAGTTTCTGTGGTCTACAAATTGCACCATCTTTACTGTTATTTCTAAATGAAAAGTGTTAGATGACACTTTTCTTTGAAGAGCTAGTTTTTTTGAGATTCTAAGCAATATAACTTATGGTTCAAACTGTTCCTTGTAAAATCAACCACAAGTATGAATCTTACAAAAGACTGAATTATCTCATAAGGGTGAAAAGGAAAAAAAAAAAGCATAGAAGCTCAAGCGTCAAGTCTTTGCTCAGAGAATGAAAAATACTCCTCATATTGGACTGTTACACCTTCAGCCCAGGGCTAACTGAGTTACTTGATATTCTACCTTTGGTACAATAATACCTACTGGTATGGTTCCTAAATTCCTGAAAAGATAGACCTGGCAGAAGCAGAGGCTAATGAAATTGTAGTTTGTTTTCTCATTCTTATGGCCAGTTTCTATCTTTTTGGTTGTGTGTGTACTTTATATGAAAGAAAAAAATAGTCTTCCTGTAAAATAAACTCTGAGTTTCAACTGAGCCATGATTGGAGATTTATTCTTATTATGGAGTGTAGTGTTATCTGCTTTCATCTTAAATTGGTTCCCAAAATTGAGTTATGAAGAATGATATGGATAGTTCCTTCAAAATTGACCTAGGAAATAAAACCTTAAAAGGACACTGGTGTGATACTTTGTCTTAATTTGGGCTTTTCTGTTTCAGTTTGCCACCTCCAGATGTGAAATGGACTGCTGTCCACCCTAAGTACTGTGCACAGTATCTCCCTTTGTGTGTGTGCACAGTGCCTTCCCCCTTACATGGTAGCTTTTTTGGCCTTAACCTAATCCCAGAGTATTTGTATGTTTTTTGTTCCTCAGCAAATAAATGAGGAAATAATTAGCCATGATTGGAACTGTTTTGTCCTAACGGTGTCCCTTTAATGTTTCATATGAAAATTTTATTGACTCACTAAAATATCTGTCTGGTCAGTTAAATTTGGTAACCTATCTTGTTAACGTTTGTCTATTAAATGTGACTAAAAATTACCAAAAATTAACTATAAAGTCAAAGGCATCTAAACTTTTGTACTTGTCTTGATTAATCATATATATTTACATTTGATTTTATATGTCATCATTTGGTTCTAATTACATTTGCATGATTATTATTTTTGGTACTCTAATCAATAATTTCCTTTTTCTCATGCCATTACCTGTTCATGACCAAATTACCAAGGACTTTCATTTAGATTTTGGTTTTAGCTTTCACATAAGAATGAAAATAGTTTTTTCATGAAAACATTAACAAAATATCATTAGCTTGATCTGCAAGTAGTTTAAAAATGCAATTGCTGTTAAACCTAGCCTCAAATTTCATAATACCATAACTGGTTTTATATCTTGCCACTAATTTTGACTGGATTTAATAGCACTTTATTGTACAATTACAAAAAAATATATTCCTAGAATTGTTGCCAGTGTAATTTCTCTAATGTTCTGGTGCTTTTCATATATTTTCAGTATTTTTATTACTGTATTGGTATTTTCTTTGTATAAATTGATCAAAAGAACATGTTTTCTATTTTAATATGTTTTAGAAAAATAATTACATTTATGAAATAAATATCATCAGGAAAATAATCCTCTGGTCTCTAATTGATAAAACATCTTAAAAAAGAATCAGTTTTCAGACTTCCTCTGACCTTTTAAAGCAGATTGCTTCCTTTTGGATCTGCTTTGCATTTTTATAAGGACAGCACTTCAGGCTTCCAAAGATGTAGTCCTGTGCGGGGTGAGCCTGTGCTTTAGTGTGTCCTCGTCCTCGTGTTAGGTAGGAATGCTCTGCATGGGGCAGTTCACAGCACTGCACTGTTGTGACTTGGAGCTCACTAATGAACCCATTACTACAACTGCAGTGAGTCTGAATTGCCCCTTGGTCTTGCTGGCTGCCCGGCATGTGGAGAGGGCTGTGCAGCGCTGACTGTTCCCAAAATCAGGGCTGTGGGCCTAGCCTGGGGCAGGAGGGATGCTGGGAAGGGGCACAGAGTAGCTCAAGCTGTTGACAGAGGAGGCCCTGCAGGTTGTTTGTGTCAGTCCCTTTGCCACCAGAAGACACAAGCTTCCAAGAAGCACCTCCCTTTCCATGAAAATAGAATGAGTAGAATAGGCCCCTCTTCTATACTGAAAGAGTGGTAGAGATAGAAAATCAGGTGCATAAAAAGCCCAATCCATTGGAAAAAATCAAAATAGAGCTAAAAAGACAGAACATTAACCTACCAAGAAATATGCTGACCAGGGGCTGTGAGAGAATGATCATTCCTAAAGGATAATTTTCTAGGAAATAACGGGAAATCTCTGCCAAGAAAGGGTTGATTACAGGAATCTTCAACTTTCTCCCCTAAATCTTCATCACCAACTCAAGGTTTTGTGACATACCACAGTCTTCCAGAAGTGTAGGGCTCCTCTGTCTCCCTGGTCCAAAGGAACAAACTGGATTCATTGAGGGTGACCTTGTTCTGTTGATACATGGCCTCCAATTGCCTTCCATCCCAGCTTTTTAGAGCTTTTCAAAATACTTGGTTGATCTTGAATGTCTCACCTCATTCAGATCCACATGTCAGTTGTCCAGATTTTCCCCATACTTGTATTCCTACCCCTTACTTCTTCACAACTCAGTAAAATCATCATATCAGACCATACATCTGCATCTTAATTTTGTCCTAATATTAAATAAATGTACCTCCCTCTAATGTCCAAAGTGTCTCATACCTTCCTTACCTCACTTAGGTTCTCCGCAATGAAGAGTAAAATAATATGTACATGTCAAAACAGATCATTGGTTTAACTGACAAGAATATAAATAATCTCTGACTCATAGAGACAGGAAATCAGAATTTGGTCACTGAAATACAGTTTTTCCATGCTCTTTTGTCCACAGTAGTTTGGGAAAACGATCTTAGATAGATAAATGATAGATAGATAGATAGATAGATAGATAGATAGATAGATAGATAAGGAAAACAAGGGTCCAAGAAGTAATACAAGAATATAAATATATATAGTCAATTTCAGAACTAAGAGTTACTAGTTTCCTGAATGCAATGCTTGTCATAACCATGCAGGGCTGCTGCAGTAATAAATTAAAATGTTGAGTGGTAAGCTCCAACAGAGATGGGCATCTATATCTTGGTGAACCTAAGCCTCTAAACAGTAAGAGAAAGAATGAAGATAAAATGCTTGAAGAGAAACAGGTGACAGAATGGTCACCCAGGCCCAGAAAAGCGAGTTTCTTGGCGTTCTGAGCCACAGACAGACCTTGCTGTGGAGGTTTCAATGCATGAGTTAATGTACTGTTTATATCAGTGGAGCAAGTTCATGTGAGTAGCATCAACCTTCAAAGCAGTTAACGCATCACTCTGTTGAGGGGAATTTAATAGACCACGTTGTTACTTGTCTCAGAAGCCAGAGTCTAGAGTCCTGAACTAGTGAGTTTAATAAAAATCAGTACACATCAGTTTTCTCTTGCCTTGTACCACACTTAGCCATGTAGAACAACACAAATTTACCAGCTCAATTTCTGTGGGTTGAGTCCAGCACAGCATGGCTGGGTTTTCTGCTCAGAGTCTCACAAATCTGAACCTAGGTATCAGCTGCCTGTATCCTCCTTGAAAGGTCCAAGTGAAGTGAATGAAGATCACTTTTAGTGATCCAAGTTGTTGCTAGAATTCATTTCTTGGTAGCCATGGACTAAAGTTACTGATTTCTTGCTGGCAAGAAAGAAGCCACTCCCAGATCCTTGCTCTGTGGCCTCCACCATAAGCATTTCACAGTTTGGCTATTCCCACTTCAAGTCTCTTTAAGGACTCACTTCATTAGGCCAGGCCCACCCAGGGTAATCTCTCTTGGGATTAACTCAAAGAAATTTCATTCAAATCCTTAGTACATCTATGAAATACATTCCCCACAATATAATAAGCTACTCATAGGGGTGATGTCCCATCACAACTACAAGCACCAACCCCACACTCACGGAGAGAGATTACATAAAGTGAGACCTGCACATTCATCCAGTTAGTCCCTCAGGTACCAGAGAGTCAGAACTCAACCTTAATCAAGTCTGATGGCTTTGAATTCCCTGATGTGCAACTGAAAGGAAGCAGACTAGAATGTCCACGTTGGGTGCCCAGTCACCAGCTTGGGGATAGTACATCTCTATTCTTGTTGACTTTCTCTAATCTCTTACATTTTTTTGTTCATTATAGACTTTATTCTAGTAGCTATGCTTATTTAATTTTAAACATTTGAAAAAGTAGTGAGACTTTATACTTTCTAACCATGTTCACATACACTAAGTTAAAATAGTTCAATGAAGCAGTAGTTTATGTAGTGTAAGACTAAATCACATCTGTGTTAATTACGTGAATAAGCTTTATTGGCCGGATTTCCACTTTCTCTATATATACATATTTTTCTGACTAAATTTATATTTATTTTGACAGACTTACAAATTACCAATGCAGCAAGCTGTATGAAATCAGAAACTAGTGCTGCATAAAATACTTTGTACCAAATTGTTTATTCAGTTCATAGCCAATAATATTTTAGACCTATTATAGACCAGAAATGTATATTTTTTTGGTATACAAAGTTTCCATTTTCACCCTTACTAGTATATGTTTGCGATAAACAATAAGTACATTCTTTTTACATCCCCTTCCCCTCTCGTCTAGTCTCACAGTTTCAATTTACAATAAAAATTTTAAAGATAAACTACTAAGGGAAAGTATGTAACCACTGTTTTAAATATTTATTCATCGTTAAAAAGCTCTCAAGATTCTTACATTGAGTTAATTTCTTTGGACAAAGGGTACTATCAGTAATCATGTGCTTTTATAAATAAAGCTCTAGTGGAAACAAACTTTTTAACTTTTGTTTTTCTTTCCAAATAATTCATTCGCTTCAGTTCATTTTCTTTGACATATGTATGCTCTGTAAAAATAACTAAATGAAGTTAAAACTGTAAAGAGAAGGAAAATATTTTCTTACAGATATCTCCGTCAGATTTCCAACTATGTTTGTTTTGCAGTACTGAAGATTGTTGAACCCAGGGCCTCATGCTTGCCACTAGGCTATGTCCCCAACCCTTTAAATGTTTTTCTCTTTTACATTTTGAGGCACTGTCTCACTAGTTTCCCAGGCTGGCCTAGAACTTGTGATGGTCCTGCCTCAGCCTTCCAAGTAGCCAGGATGATAGACACGCACCACCACACCTAGCTGATTTCAAACATTTATACTCTCCAATTTTATTTGGATCAAATTCTAGTGCCTTAAATTCTTTTATTTCAGGAAGTTCTCTGCACATGTTCAGGTTCTGGAGCTATATATAATTGTGTATATAGGATGTTGAAAATCTCACAGATCTCCTCATTCATTTTGGAAGTATTTTTCGTGTCTGTGGTGCCCAGGATCAAACCCATCACATGTGAGCCAACTGCTCTACCACTAAGCTCCAGCCCCAGCCCTGGATGTACACTTTTCTTAATAAGTTTCTGATAGCAGGCAACTTTTGTTTGTTTTAATTAATTAAGCTTATTGGCACATTTTAGGTATACATGATCACATTCATCATAGGGTGTTTGTAACTATAAATGATATACCTTGGTTTCTATTTTCTCCCACACCCTCTCTTCAATTCCTCCACCCCTCCTTATTTACAAAAGCTTTGTTTCCATTTTTTCTTTCTTTTCTCACTTCCTTTCCCCATACTCCTTCCTAGTTCCCCTGCCCATTTGAACATTTTTGTCCTATCTCACAATACCTATTATACATTTTGGTCCTCATTTACACTTTCAGTTTTGCACACCAGGGAAACAATGCAGTATTTACACGTGTGTCTGATTTATTTCACTTAAGCTCATGGTCTCAATGTACATCCATTTAGCTATAAATGTCTGAAGTTTATTTTTCTTTATAGCTGAGTAAGTGCTCCATTGTATAAAAAAATACAACTGTATCCATTCATCAGTTGATGAGCATTTGGGCTGTTTCCAAGATTTAGCTATTACAAAGTGCGCCACTATAAACATGGGTGTGCATATATCATTGTGGTATGATGCTTTTAATTCTTTTAGGAAGATACCAAGAATGGGAATAGCTGGGTCAAATGGAACCTCTAGTTTTAGTTTCTAGAGGTATCTCCACACTGATTTCCACAGTGGTTACCCCAGTCTACACTCCTACCAACAATGGAGAAGGGTTCCTTTTCCCCTCAACCCTATGAGCATTTAATATTGGTTGGTTTCTTGATAGCCATTCTTTCTGGGCTGAGGTGGATTCTCAGCATTGTTTTCATTTGCATCTCACTAATAACCAGTGATGTTGAACATTTTTTCATATATTTATTTGCTGTTTCTACTTCTTTGAGAAATGTCTG